CTTTTCCTGTCTTCTTTATTCCCAGATCCATGGAAGAGTCCCTTATGCACTGGGAACAGGAATGAGATTTCCATATCCTTCTGTTTCTCTCCTTTGATATGAATTAGAAGTGAACGCTACCTGCCTTGATAAGGCTTCCTGCCTTGACAATATCATTTCTTATTATTCTGTTTTAAGAACACAAGATCTCCCAAAGGGCCACCTGTCCCTGTCACTGAGTAGGACATCAGCCACGAGGGGATGCCTCGGGACCAGGACCGAGACATCCCTCCCTTGACTCTGGCTGTCAGCAGCTGAGGGACTCCTTGAGCTGGCCATGTCATCCAGGCATCGGAGAGACACTGATAAGCTTTCCTCACCTCACCTAATTATCATTTTAAGTGTCCCCATTTCTGTGCAGGGGGCTCACAGATGAATTACTCCGGAGAATTTATTTTGGTTTCAACCTGCTGCCTCATGATTTCACTGGATGCTTGTTCTGCCGTGCACTGTGAAAAGCAGTAAATAACCATCCTCTTCTTTTTGTGCTACTGGAAATTTTATAGACCTCAAATGTGCCCACTCCCACCAGTCCCCTCTCTTCTACGCTGAAGAGTCTCGGTCTCTGCCTGGGGGATCAGCAGCTCCTGCAGTGCCTCCCGATGGAAACAACTGCCTTGGACAGATTCAGCTACACTGGACATTTGTGTCAAAGTCTGGCTCTTGGCCACTATGGAAGTCCCTAGCCAGGCTGTGATAGCATCAATGTCGGATGGCGTTGAAAGTGAAGGCATTAGGCTGGAGGAAGTGAGCTCATGTAGTGGTTTTACTAAAGGCTTTGGCAAAAAAAGAAGGAATGTTTGAGGGAAATGTGCTGTTGACACTGAATTGGGCTATTCTGGCTCTGCAGAGGAGAACTGGGATGTCACGGAGAAACAAATGTTTGACCTCAGGGAGTAGAAGAGAGAGAGGGTGAAATTTAAAAATATGAAGTCCAAGGTCATGTGCTTAGAAAGTAGTAAAAATTTCTTGTCTGTGTTGGATGCTTCCAGGATGGGAATGTCTCTGGATAAAGGCTGAATGCTACTCATGATTCATGGCAGCAGGACAGGGCCAAAGGGAAGGCAAACGTGACATTAAACTGAAAGGTAAGAGGCAAGTCTAACAGGAACATGAAGAAAATCACATTATTTTAAGAATCATCAGTGAATCCTTGAACTATTATGTAGCCCCCAGCTCATCCCCAGTGAGGAAAGTGTACAGAAAGGAAATACTGTCATGACTGCACAAACAGAAAAAGTCTATCCTACAAAAGAAGACTGGAAGGAGTCGGCTTTTTAGCTTAGCAGCATGATGACTACGGAAGGATATGAATGCTGTGTATAAATACATTAGGAGGATAAATAACATGAAGGAAGAACAACTACTGGCTCTAGGCCAATGTTGGCATGAGAGCAAGTGGCAATAAACTGGTCCCAAATATATTTGGGGAGAAAAGTAAGTGTTTTCTAGCCAAAAGAGGAGCAAAAATGGGAGCTTTTCAGTTAGATGGGACAGACAATCTAACAGATTTGGCAAATTCATTACTATAAGACATGGCGTCTCAAAACGAGGGGACAAGGTTTGCAGGACCAGAAAGTGCCTTCTAGTCTTGCACTCCCCTAGTCTTATTTTCACTGTCCTCTACCTGAGGCATGATGGGTTTTGGCAAATGGTATCAATGCACAGCTCCAACGGTTCAAAAATTAGCTGCTACAGTCTTCCTTCTCAATCAAAGCTACTATATCCCTCTTCTCCCTTTACTGAGTATAAAGCAAATGTAAACTAAATTTATTATTGTACAACACAGCTTCTACTTCCTGAATTGTCTGTTATTAAAACATTTACTATCTACCATGAAAAATGCATAATACAAAATTTCTATTTCATTGCAAAGTACTGAAAATATTTTTTTTTCATCTTATGAGACTGCTGCTGCTAAGGGTAACTTACCTGCAAACAGCCAAAGACAGTTAGGAGAAAACAATCATATAATTTGTATTTAAACATACTATACTGTACATCCCTAGGCAATAAATTATTCTTTCTCAGAGTATTATATCAGAGCGGCTTCTATTAAAAGCCGTACCTACTGATTCCCTCTTCTGACACCGTTTAATTTACCACCGATAAATGTTCATAAACAGTTTGACTGAAAAATCCATAAAGCCATTTCAGCTTTATTTTAAGTTCCATTTAATGTCCCTCAAAAATGATTTCATCAATGTGTTTCCATTAGCTGGTTCTCTGCCCAATAACTTAATTCCACACAATCGGTCAGGAACTTATAAAGCATATGACAGGATCTACCTAAAGTGTTTTGAATCATCATAAAGATTCACTCAAAGAGTGTTCTTTTTTTTCCCCCTTCTAGTGCATAAGGTGTGGGGGCACAAATGTCAAAGACCCCTATACGTGTTCACTTCATGCAAGAACAAAAATCAAGAGTCCTATGGCAAGGGAACATTTATGGTTCAATTTCAGGGTTTGGGGATTTTTTTTTTGTACGTTTCTTTCTCTTCTTTCATTTG